CAGCCCCGCCTGCCTTCTAGAGAATGCATGCTGTCAAGAGCATGTGGGTGGTAACCACAGCTTCAGGTGACTGAGCCAGCTTAGGTGCCACTTGCTGTTGTGGGCACCATAGTATACACATACCAAGGGTTTGGAGCTGGGGAATGAAGGGATGTGCTTACTGCAATCATGCCTTAGGAGCCCCGGGAGGGTGAGGATATGCACAGTCAGTCCAAGCCCAGGGCATCACTGCGCCTTTCCAGACTAGAGATACCACAAATGCTTATCTCTTTGCCTTGAGAACAACCCTGAAAGAGTGAATCTGGCAGGGAATTCCTGTTTTGTTGGATGACATTGAGTTGATTCAATTCCAACTCATAGCAATCCCATGTTAGGATTGCCCTATACCACCTTCTAGGAACTCTGGTGGCGTAGTGCCTAAGGTGCATTTGACTACTAACCAGAAGGTTGGAGGTTTAAACCCCCCAGATGCTCTGTGGAAGGAAGATGGGGCAATCAACTTCTGTAAAGATTTACCACCTTAGAAACCCAATAGGAGTCACTGAGTCAAAATCAACTTGATGGCAGTGAATTTGGTTTGAGTTTTATACCATTTTTCTAGGTCATTACAGGAGCAGATCACCAGGTCTTCCACACAGTGCTGCTGGGTGAGATTGAACTGTTTATCTTTCAGTTTGCAGCCGTGCACTTAACTGCTGTGCCATCAGGGCTCCTAGGGAATTCCGAGAGTTAGGAAAGGAGCTCATATCTGAGTCTTGTTCAGAAGACCTGGCTTCTGACCAGTCTCCACCACTGACTAGCTGTGCGGCCCCATGTTTAAGCTGGAAAGTCTTAGAAATGGAGGAGGTCTTCTAGTTCAACCTTCTACACTGAGCAGAAATGCTTCCTACAGTCCCCTGATGGATGATCACCTTGTACTTCCAGGGATGGGAACTCCACTACCCATAGGGCAGCCTGCTCCTATCCAATAGTTTTGCTAGAAATTTCTTTTTCAGAAGGCCTGGAAAGGCTCACACCAGCTAGTGTCACCTCCAGGGAGGAGAGTGGGAGTGAGGGGAGCGTGACTGGGCTCTCCCTGTAGATTTGGTATGGGTGCTTTCCAATACCTTATAGAATCAGCTGCTTGGGTTCCAAGCTTGGGTGCCGCTTATTGGCTGTGTGACCAAGGAAAACAACACAAAGTAAGGTTTTATTTTATTCAAATACAACTTGCCTTTCCAAAATTTCCATCTATTCCTGTTAAATCTGCTCTCTAGAATCGGATGTCTTCCAAATACTTGAAGGTGGGGATCCCGTTTCCACTGCAGCTTCTTGAGGCCGAGTTGCTCCTCCTAGAACCTGGTTTCCAGGCCAGTCCCCATCCCAGTCACTGCTGTGGATGTGACCCCATTCTGTGTGTCAGAGGATAAAACTCCAGTGGGGTCACAAGGTGAGGAACCAATCTCCCCTTGAGCTGGTGTTGCTGTTATTAGTCACCTTGGAGTTGATTGTGACTCGTGGAGACCCCTTGTGTGCAGAGCACTGCCCCAGAGATGTTCAAGGCTGTGACCTTTCAGAAGCAGACTGTCAAGCCTGTCTTCCAAGACACCTCTAGTTGGGTTAAAACTGCCAATTTTTTGGTTAGTAGTGAAGCACTTAACTGTTTCTGTTACTCACCTATTAATTAATGAACCTGAGAAAATACCCCTCCCCCTTTTATATGTGTGTATATTGGAGGGGGAGGCATGATCAAATCAAGTACTTCCCCAAGGCTTGGTTTTCTTATCTGTGAAAGGGGAAAACTATACCTTTGTTATTCAAATCAAGTGAAATTAAGGAAATGTAAAAACACTTAAAAGTACAAACCTCTGCACTAGGGGTTATTAATTATTATGAGCCCCATGCAGTTTAGATAGTGGGTAAGTATTGGGCAGGAGCCTTGGTGGCACAATGGTTAAGCAGTTGGCTGCTAAGTGAAAGGGTGGCAGTTCAAAACCAGAGAAAGACCTGACACACTGCTCCTGTAAAGATTACAGCCAAGATAATCCTAGGGGGCACCAGTTCTTCGCCTTCTGCACACTGCCCCCTTCTCCTTTGCCCAGGGGTCTGAAGGTGTCATTGAAGACCCCAACTACATCCTCTTAGGTCCCCTCAGGATCACCCTGGCATCTGGTACCCCTGAATTGCATACTGGGTTTTCACCCAGTATGTCACAATGAGTCACTTTGAGTCTAAATCAACTTAATGGCACTTAACAAGCATTGAGCTTGTAGAATCAGCTGCTTGGGTTCCAACCCCAGCTTTGCCACCTACTGACTGTGTGACCCAACAGTTCTGTATTAGTTTTCTCCTCTATAAAACAAGGACAATGATGGTGCCAATGCTTTTATTTATAAGCATTAACTGTATTGCCTAAGGAGCTCTGGTGGTGTAGTGCCTAAGGCATTTGATGGCTAACCAGAAGGATGGTGGTTCAAACCCACTAGCCACTCCATGTTAGGAAGATGGGGCAATCTACTTCCGTAGAGATTTACTGTCTTAGAAACCCAATGGGAGTCACTATGAGTCAGAATCGACTCGATGGGAGTGAGTTTGGTTTTTTTTTTTTTTTTGGTTTTGAACTGTATTGCCTAGTGCTTTGCTTGATAACTATCCCAAAAAACAAACCTGTTTCTGACGAGTTGATTCTGACTCATAGTGATCCTATAAGTCAGAGTAGACCTGCTCCATAGGGTTTCCAAGGCTGTAAATCTTTATGGAAACAGGCTGTCACATCATTCCCTTTCAGAGCAGCTGAGGGGTTCAAACCACCGGCCTTTCAATTAGAAGCTGAGCACTTAACCACTGCACCACCAGGTCTCCTTCAATAACTGTTAACAGTTTGGTATTACTATCTCCAGTCTTATTCTCTCACAAATAGATAAAGGTTCACTGATTCATAGCACTTATCTTGAACAGTGGGGACATCAAACCAAACTGATCATCTGCTGTTAAGGATGAGTTTTTCCCGGTATTTGTGAACACTGGTTATGTGCTAGGCATTGTGCTGAGGGCTTTACAGGCATTGCTTCATTTAATTCTCCCAACAGCTCGATGAGGTAGATACTATTATGACTCCTATTTTACATTTGGAAACAGGGGCTCAGAGAAGTTAAACAACTTGCCCATGATCACACAATAAGGAAATGATGAAGCAAGAACTAAGTCAGTCTCCATCACCACAGGGTCCTGTTCTTTCAACCAACTCCCTCATTTGGGCTTAACTCTAGCCTGGGGACTACAGGAGGTCAGAGTATTTTCTTCCTTGACAGCCCTGCCTGCTGTTGCCTTGAGGTGGGGGAGGAGAGGCAGATTCCAACTTCCCTCCTTGAATTCTTCGCCTCCTGCACACTGCCCCCTTCTCCTTTGCCCAGGGGTCTGAAGGTGTCATTGAAGACCCCAGCTACATCCTCTTAGGTCCCCTCAGGGCCACCTGGTATCCCTGAATCGTATACTGGGTTTTCACCCCAACCATAAAAATGGTTGGTTCCACACTGATCGACCAGAAAGGAAAAAAAAAAAAGCCATTTTGGATGTGGGCTCTGGTGCATAGTATCATTAAGAAGCCGGCAGTGCATCCCATCCCATTATCGCCCAGCCAAGCATCTCCGAGGTGAGCCTGGTTGCAAATGGCTGTCTTCTGTCCTGGGGGGGGGGGGGCACAGCCCCTACTTGCCCTGCATTGCTGGAGGAGAGATTTTATCTTAATTGGCAATTGGCTGCCTGCCACAGCCTTGCCTAGCCTCACTGGCCCAGGCGCCAAGCTAGACTTGTTTTTGATTCAGGAATAGGCTTTCCCCTTCCTTCTTTCCTCCCATCGACCCTGCCCTCCTCACCCTGCTGCTTTGAGCTGTGCCAGACAGCTCCCCAAGTGTGCTTGTGTTGTTTTTTCATGTGACTGGCCACGAAGATCACAATACACTGAGGAGAAAAGTCACAGACCTACAGGAAAAGGGCAGGGAGGGAACTAGCACTTACTGTGTACCTACTGTGTGCCAGATGTGCTAGCCCTGGACCAGGCTCTTTACACTATCTCTGAAATAGGTGCTGTCATCATCTCCACTTTACAGACAAGAAAACTAAAGTTATGTGAGGTGCCCCAAGTCACCTAGCTATTAAGTGGCAGATCAAGACTCTGAACTGAAGGCTGGGTGACTCTAAGTTTATGCCTGGGGACAGGCAAGAGTAAGCAGACGAATAGGTACCAAAGTCTGACCACATAATCTGCAGACTCCAGTGCAAAATGATAATGTGGAACCCTTCGTTCAAAATGGAAGATTTCAAGATTCTGACAGTTGAGTCCTAAACCAAGCGCAGGGCCCTTCTGAGTGACTGCAGGTGGCAGGCCCATGAAGCTGGCCTGTGTATAGTCCTATGTGAGCGTGAGGAATAACCACAGCGAGATGTGGCCCACATCTGACCATGATTTCCCACTACTCCTATCATTTCTGGGCCCAAGATGTGTTTATTCCCCATCCCTCCTAAGTGATCATTGGCCCTCAGTTCATCAGCCATTCATCCAGTCATCGTCATGACTTTGGCATCCCCAGGGCCTTGGCCCACATAGAATTGGTGCAATTTCAGGGAAGTGTGTGTGTGTGTGTGTGTGTGTGTGTGTGTTGGGGGGAGGGCAGGGAATGTATAAATGAGCAGGAATAAGGCAAATTCCTTAAACAAAGAACTGTCCTTTCTCCCAGGGTACAACAGGAAGTCAGACAGTAGCAGCAGAGTATGGACACATTACTGGGAGTCTGGGTCCTGGGTCAGTCGTGTTGTGTGACCTCAGGCAAATCTCTTCTCCTCTCTGAGCATGACTCTCTTTAGCTTTCAAATGCAGGAGGTGGGCTGTGTCAGTGGTCCCAGGTAGGGTGGGAGTTATTAGACTATGCTGCACTGTTATGACGTGTGTTGTATTCCTCAGGTGTTGGGGTGGAAGCCCAGGGAGGTCCCCGTAGACACAGAGCCAAAAAGGAGAGGCAGAGGCAGACACTCACACAGCAGGAGCAGCCAGACGGCTCTGGATGTTTATTGGGGCTCCAGCACAGCATGACAGTCCAGAGGCAAGCAGACAGGGCAGCAGGCCTGGCCTAGGCATGCCTCAGACACACACAGGGGACAGCTTAGAAATGGACTGACCAACACCAGGGACGTGTAGGGACTGCAGGGTGAGGTGGGGAGTGAGGCCGAGGGAGGGGCAGAGGCCGAAGCTGAAGGGGTTGCCTGGCCTCTGCTATTGCACGCAGCCTCTGGCCACTGGCCAGGAAGTACAGTATTGCAACTGGTCTCCTCTTGCCCAAGGCTTCCCCTTCTCAGACCCCTGAGCCAGAAGGGCAGACAGACCCCACCCCTGCCCATTTGCCCAGCAGCATCTTTGAAAAAAAATGGACAAAGGAGATGGGAACAAAAAATAAAAAATAAGACAAAATGCCCCCTCAGTCAAGGACATAGTTTGGGGTGGAGGGTAGAGTAGTGGAAGCTGCAGAGGAGCCCCTGGAAGTCCCCCACAACTAGGGCGTGGGGTGGGAGGTAGAACCCCAATCTGGGGTGGGGGCTAGTGGAACAATGACCCTTGGGGACTGTATGGCCTTCAACTGACCACCTGCCGACAGAGGGAACACCCCCAAGAGGGAAAGTCTAGCCTGGGACCACCCAGATGGAATGGTGGTTTCCAGGTGTGCTTTTCCTGGGACATTTCAGACACATTTTCAGCAGAATCAACAAGAAATCTGTAAAGGGGGAAAGTGGGAGTTTGGGGCTGGGGATGGGCTTGGGGAGACACAGCCTAACAAAGAAGACAGACCACCAATAGCACGTGCACTACACACAAGAGTATAGTATGTATGAATATAGATACTATATGTGCATATATATCTCTTCAATATACAATAGAACAGAACATCAGACCCAGATGGCTCCGGGCCCTGAGGGTTGCATGGGAGGTTTCCCATCAGTCCTGTGCAAACAAGGATTTCTGAGTCTTGCCCAGCGAAAGATTCTTGCCTGGTTTCCAGAGTTTCCCTAAGCCTTTGGCTTTCTGTCTGTCTGCCTGTCTCTCTTGCGCTGGTGCCGCTTTAAGAGAGGGTGAGGACTTCAGCCTGGGCATAGTTGGACGAGAGGGCGTCTTGGCAGGTCTCTGTGTTTAAAGAGCACAGGTATGAGACACTGGGACGCACGCTTTCGGCTCAACATTGCCTTCTGGGAGGCAAGGAGTTCAGCAAAAGAAAGGGAGAAACAAAAAGTGAGATGTTAGAAGGAAGCCAGCGACTGACCCACAGACTGTGGGCTAAGGAGCAGGCCAGGAGCAGAGCTTAAAGACACAGGGAACCCAGGAGTAAGAGGTCAGAAACAGCAAGGATGGGTCAGGGAATGGGGTGAGCCCTTTCAGCACTCCTCTGCTGACCTAGCTCTTGGTCAAGCTGATTCACATGTAATATAGCTTGTCCCCGTACTTGCTCAGATAATGGACTCCAGGAACTACTACCTCTAGGTCTTCAAAGCTCCAGTGTAGTGGAGAGAAGGGGTCACAGCTCTGCAGCCTGGCATGGAGGCAGTGGGAATATGTTCCTGCCCAACCTGACCTCTCTCCCAAATAGCTCCATCTGCCATCACCACCTGGGCTATTCTTTGCCCAGGGGGCTAGTAAAGAGATCTCTGAGCCCAAGAAGGCTCCTAAGTATACTGCTATGCCATGCCTAGCTCTCTTTCTCAACCTGAAGGAACAGACGGAGCATGCAGCCTCAGGTGAAGGCTGAAGGGGAAGGTCAGGGAGGATGAAGGTACCCAGTTTTGAAGAGAAGGCCAGAAAGCATCATCTTATTGAGAACTCCAGCCCCTCAATGAGCAATTATCTGGAATGTCAGTGGTCCAGGTCTTCCCTTCTTCCACTTTCCCAGTGGGAGCATGGGTAAAAACAGGTAGTGAGGCTTCTGTCCCACCTGCAGAGCTGGCTCAATAGCTCAGGTGGGAGGTCCAGCCCCCTCAGGTCAGAGTGGAACAACTCTTGCAGCTACAAGGTTTTGTGATCACAGGGCCAGGCCTCCTGTAAAAGTGGGGTCAGCTTCAGCATCGAGACCTCACAATTTCCATCCTAGGCTGCCCAGTCATGTTAAAGAGCCTCCATTACTTTTCTAGGGAAAGGGTGTTCCCATCTTGAAGTGACCCTGTTTCTATCTCAGGAGGCCTTGTGGCCCAGTCTTAGACTATACCTTGCCAATGTGTGTTTTGGGTCTTTGAGTACAATCCTAGAGAAAAGAAAACCAGAGAAGCCTAAGGCTCTTCAGAGCTCCATTTCTGGGGACAAGCAGTTAGAGCTGTGGTCTGACTTCTTGCATAAATTTAGCAATACCCAGATAGTCATGCCCAACTCACTAGCAGAAGGGCATGGGTCTCTGGGTCTTCTAGTGAGCAACTGGGTTCCTAAAACACACTGTTAAGAATGTCTGGGAATGGTGTGAGGCAGGAGGAGAGAGAAGGCAAAGTTGTGAAGTGCTCAGGGGAGCTGGAAAGCAGATCAGCCTGTTCCAGGGAGATAGCAGCTTTAGGTTGACTTCTCCAGGGGCTTTCCAACCTCAGGGGCCTCTGAGAGTTAGGGAGGGGTCTTCCCAGGAATCTTATTCTGGAATCTGCTTATTTGACCAACGAGGGGTGGGGGACAGGGATTCTAGAGGGTGATACTATCTGGCCAGGGCAGAGAAAGCCCTCCTCTTCCAGGATGCTCTGTGAAAGGGGCCCAGGCCCATGGGGTGCATCCCTCAACTCCCATCCAGCCAGGGTTCCAAGCTGCATAGGTATCTTCCCCTCTGGTTCCACATGGGCCCTCAGAAGTGGCTTTGGCTAGAGTTGTCAGTAGTCCTAATCAACAAGGTAAGGTTAAGAACTTCTACCAGGCTTCCTTCTCTGCTCTGTAAGAAGGGACTAAGCATCTTACTGAGAAACCCAGCTCCACAGTTAGCCCTTATTGGCATTTCATCCTCAGCCTGGGATATTAGTGGCCTGGGTCTTTCCTTCCCCTACATTCCTAGTGGTAGCACAGAGAGGGCGGAAGGCTGGTGTCCCGGCGGAAGGCTGGTGTCCCAGCTGCAGAGCTGGGTCAACAGTGCAGGTAGGATGTCCAATCCCCTCCAGGCCAGTGTTTGGACAACCCCTACAGCTAATAGGTTTTGTGGTCTAGGGCCAGGCCTCCTATAAAGGTAAGGGGAAGACTTCTAACTATAGTGGTGGGTGTAGGTGCAAGTCCAGATCCAAGAAAATGTAAATTGTGCTCTCAGACTGTGGGTGTATGTGGGGATAAGCCTTCTCCCAAAGAAGGTGGTCCCACACCTGGGTGAGCCTGAGGCCATGCAGACAGCCTCCTCTTCAGGCAAAGCTTGGTGGGTGTACAGTGGGGGCTCTGTTCTTTTTCAGATCCCTGGGAAGGCCCAGAGGGGCTGAGAGGTGGCTAGGGGCAGCAAGCCTGCTTTATTCTCCTTTAACTGGATCCTGTCTCTCCCCTTAAAAAGCCAAGAGGCAAGTGTGTGGGTCTATCTCCCTAAGGTACTGGGGCTCCAGCCTGGCACCCCTATACTACATCACCCAGGGACATCTGTGCCCACCACAGGGATGCCGTGTGCATGCCCATCCCTGTAGGAGGGACTGGAGAGAAGGAGGCGGTGGGTGCCGTGGAAACTTGGGCTCCTGACAACTTGAGGGCTGCCACAGAAATAGTTGCCTCAGTTCCCTGAGCCAGAAAGGCAAGTCAGAAGAGAAAATAGCTGTGGTATCCGTGTTAAACTGGACACCTAGCTCATCATGTCCCCATCCAGTCTGGAATCCTGGTGCCAGGGTGCCCCGTGGGGGCAGGACTGGACCTGTCCTCATGAAGAAGGAGCTGGGTTCTCAGAGACAGCTATGAGGGGAGAGAGCTCCCAGCTGTCTCCACCCAGCTTCATAGGGCTTTCCTGTCCCTTAAAGGGCCTTGTCCCCTTCTGAAGGGCAGGTACATAGATGTCCCTGTATCCTCTTTTCTCAACTCTTAGGGGATACTTTGCCCTGAAAGCAAGTGGAAGGCAGGTTGGGGCATCCCAGGACTTACCTTCAACAGACCTATCTGGAAAAAACCTTCTCCTGTCTCTGCTAAGGGAGGTGTTGCAATGGGGATGCTCCCGGCATAACCTTCGCACCCCCCCCCATAAAATAATCTGTGCTTTCCTCCCCTTCACCTTTTTGGGTAGACCCCAGATTTCCAAGTCTCTTGCTGAGTCTCTGAGTGTGGTCTTGTGCTTGTCTTGCCCACCCTGGAAGGAGCAGAAATGGCCTTTACTTAGTTGTTCCCTCTACAAAGTTGCATAATCCGACTCTAAAAATTACCAGATGCACGGCTCTACTGTCAGGTCTAATTCCCATCAGGTGAAACAGGAACTGTCTTGGCTGAGGAGTTCTTCAGGTTGTGGAGGCCTGTGAGGAGGCTTGCTGGGTGCCACTGTGGGGGGAGGGGGCCGTATGTAGCTTACTGACCAGCCCTGGCAGAGCTACAGCCTTCCTGGGAGTCGTAAGGGACTGTGCAGGAGCAGGTGGGGGCAGGGTGGCTCTGTCTTTGCACTTTCCCTCAGCTGCCCCTGTCCAAGGTGTACTCCTGCTCACTCAGTGACTCACAAACCTGTTGTGCTCCTGGGCTCGTTAGGTAAATGAATACGCTTAATTATAGAAATTAGATGAGTCTCCGGTTCTGGCAGGAATATAGAGCGAAGAGGCTGGGTGGGAGCGGCAGGTGACTCAGAGGCAGGGCTGGGAGTTTGTGGGGGGCGGGAGAGGGAAGAAAAACTGTCGCGGAAGCAAAGGAAGCCGCGTGGAGAGGGATGCCGAAGCTCGGGCGGGTGCACGCAGATGGATGCCGGGCTGTCTCTGGGTGTCACCCCCTGGATCTAGGCATCTCTGAGCCTGGGCAGTGCCGCCTAGGGCTTGAGCCAGTCCTGGGACTCCAACTCTAGGGACTTCTGCCTGTACCCCAGGCCAGAGCTGGAGAGTATCAGGCCTCTTTCAGAGCAGCACTGCCCATGGACACTGCCAGTCTAAGGCACTGCTCCTCAGAGGAGTCAGGCCTCTTGCACCAGCAGACGATGCCCCGTGTGACAGACAGCCTTATTCCTTGCTGGTGTGGGATGGACAGACAGACAGACAGAGTCATTCAACTGCAGGCTCTTTGGTTGCTGGTAAAAAGCCAGGAGGAATGGAAACACATTTGCTGTGATTAAAAATACCAACAAAGGCCTGGCTTCAGCAAGGCAGACTGCCCCAGGTGCACACGTGGACCACCTTGTACAAGTCTGGCCAGCATGGTTCACTCTGGTGGGACCCTGAGAGGGAGGCAGGCGCCAGAGAGACTGGTCCTGTGTGGGCTGGCACCTATGGCTCAAGAAGGGGGTACATTGTTGGGGTAGAAGCCCTGGGAATAATCTCCCCATTGCTCTTGAGTTCAGGGCTGAACATTTTGGGGGGCTTGATGCTGCGAAGAGGCTTAGGGAACTGAATCCTCCTCCATCCTCACCGGCTCCCTCCACCCAAGTCTGTGGGCAGTGCTGAGCCCAAGGAGGAATGAGCGATGGAAGGCAGGATGGGGAGGGCATGTGAATGCTTGTGTGTGAGTTTGTGCCCAGGAAGGCAAGGAAAGGGAGGATGCAGCTAGGGGGCAGAGTGTCCAGGTGGTGGGCTGGTAAGGGGGTGGAAGGGGTGGGAGAGCAGGAGCTTTCTCGGAGGATAGGGCGAGCTGTATCGCGACGCCAGCGGAGACAGCCCCAGACTGGTTCCAGCTGCACCGGCTATGTTGTTTAGACTCCGGGACTTTTCACAGCCTTGGTGAAGAAAAGGCACATGGGTCAGAGGGCCAGAGTGGGTCCAAAGGATCTGTGCTCCAGGGGACCCTGCAGGGTGGGCAGCCCAGGCTGGAGTGGAGGGTTCTGGCTCTCCCTGGCCTCTCCTGGGGCCCAGAGAATGGACTCCAGGGCTCATATTCAGCTGGCCTTTGTCTTGTCCTTGGCCCCCAGTAAATTCCTCTCCACCTCCTCCATAGCCCAGCTGCAGGAAGATCCCACAGCCGCTAGCACCTGTCTTCCTCAACCTTATGAAGCCCTAATTAGCACCTGCCACCTTCTTCCCAGAGAATTCACTCTAAAATATGGGTGGCTACCAGCTAAGATGGGGTCTGTGCTGGTGGCTGGAGGAGGCCTTAGTCGCTCCTAGTCCTGAACACAGTCTGAGTGGAGAGAAGAGCAGCATGGGATGGTGCGGGGAAAGTTGCCGAGTGCACACTGGGAGTTTGGCGATGCTAATTGCCACACTTGCTTAGCAGGGCCTGTTTCCCAGCAACCCACCTGTTCCCTCTCGAAGGTCACTCTAATTGGCTGAGCTACATGCCTTGTTGCCAAGAAGCAATGTGGAGGCATCTTGAAAATAGAGCAGTTGGGCCCCATGGGCACTCCAGAGAGAGCTGATGGGGTGACACAGCCTCCCCTACCCCATGCATATACATGTTCTACCCCTCTTCCTTAAGTGCCACCTGTCCTCAATAACACACGGTCCCTCTGTCAACGTGTACCTTCAGAGCCTCTTCCATATCTCTACCTCCACCGAGCCCCTAATAGCACATGGAAAGCCAGGATGCTTAGCATTCAAGCTCTGTTTGCACAAGTGCCTGAGTGAGGGCTGCCGTTTGACCACATTCTAGGCCCTCCACTTAGCACATTCCAGCCAGAGTACGGCTCTGGATCTGCATGAGAGCACACGGTGGAAGCCATGCATGTTGGGGGGTGGGGGGCCGAGAGAGAAGGGTACATCAGAATCCAAGGATAGGGCAGACAGAGGCCAGGGGTTATCAGAGGAACACGGGTTAAGGTCCAAGAGGTCTGACCACACTCCACTTGCACATTTAGCTTGGGCCTCTGAGCCATCTCCTTCCAGGTGTCAGACCACTATTTCTATTTCTGCCACCCAACAAGACATATGCCCACCAGGGCAGGATACACCCATCTCAGGGCCTGGTCATGATTGGGCTGGCCTGGGGATCCCATAGGAACAGTAGTGCTGAGGGGAACATGGATGCAAAGTGCCTGGGAAGGTGCCCCAGGAGGCTGCATGGGCTAGACAGGTGAGGAAACATCCTTAGTGGGGAGAAGGGGCACCAGCTATTGCCCCAGCCTCCCTCAACCCAGTCTTGTCTGGGTCTTGGGGGATCCCATCCATCTTCAGGAAGGGCACCTAGTTGAAAGAGGACTGGTTAAGAAGTAGCCAGAGAACCCAAGGAAGAGACTTTGTTTTGAGGGGAATTGGGTTTGGCCTGGAACTAGGCAAGATGTTTATGGAAGTTAGGTCACAGGGACAGAGCTAGAAGACAAAGAGGTGAATATAAACTGGGCAGAAATCATGCCTGGTCTTAAGACCCCTGATTCTCTGCCACCATGGGCCTTCAGCCATCCTTGATGATTCTGCCAGCAATCTCTAGCTTCACTACCTAACTTCTGCCACTGGCTTGGCAATGGAATTCTCTGACAGGGAGAGAATGGACTGCTCTCTTTAAGTCCCCATATCCTATGCTGCTTCAGATGGGACCCACTCTGCCTGGCCCTCATCTGGCTCTGTCTCAAGAGGACAGTCAGATTCCAGGTTCCTGCAGAACTAGGCCAGCCTGTCCTGGGCTCCAGGACCCTGTCTTCAGGATAGGAGAACATGGGGCCTACAGAATCTCCACCATGCTGGGCTCCTCTGAAGACCTCGCACCAGTATCATCTCATCATTACAATGATGCCTGAATGTTGTTTAAATTTCCTGGGAAAGTCTTAGCTGTGTTTATAGGAGGCGTAGGGAGGGGCTGGCAGTGACTCTCTTGGGCTAGGCCTAGAAGTAGTCAGCAGCACAAACCAGAGGGAGAGAATGCCAATGAAGGTGATAAAAATGGAAGTGAAGGACGAGTACACTCCTAAGTTGGTGTCCACCAATCCTCTAGAACTCTTCCGATGGGGCATCTGGAGGGGCTGCAGAGCTGTGTGTACCTTTTTGGGATGCTGGAGGCCTTTCTAATCCAGAACGTGGGAGATCAGGGTGCCCATCCTAAAAGCAGGGGCGCATTCAAGGAAGAGGGGATGGTGGTCATGGCCTCAGGGGAGGAGGGGACTTCAAGTTCTGTGGGAGAGACTGGAGAGACTCAGCCCATAGATGGGGGCTCCCCACCTCCCCAGCCCAGGGCGCCATACCTTTCCGGACACTGCCATCGGCACAGGCATAATCCCCAGCACTGAGCAGGAAGCAGGCAGCTGCCTTCTTGTTTCTGTCTCGAGTGCCAGACCGTCGCAGGGCCCGGCGCTCTTCAGGGGTGGGGGCGGAGGCCAGGGGCTGGGTGAGGCCAGCTCCCTCCTCATCTGATAGTACTGCATTAGCATCGCCGTTCTGCTTGGAGTCTGATGGAACAGACAGAAAGGGTGGTAAGGGGCTGCCTGGGCCTTCTCATGGGGCCTCCTGGGCTTTCTCATCCCAACCTGAGGACGGACCTTGTATTGATATGGGAGGGAGTGTCACTGAGCCAGAGGCACTGTCCTGTCCTGGGGGCAGGATGCTATGCTTGGTCTGATGGCTGGCTTCCCTCCCAGCCTTGGCCTAGGGTCTTTCCTAGGGGATGGAGCCATATGTCCAGATGTCCTCCAGCAGAGACCTCCCCAAAGCTGCTTTCTGAGGACTGCCCCATGAGATTATCCCAAGGCAGGCAGCAGAAATGCTTCCTCCTTGAATCTGGCTCAGACTGACATTTGGATGAGTGTGCATTCCCTGGGAGAATGCTTGGCTTGTTGGAGGGTGGGGGGACTGCCAGGGTTGAGCCTATACAGTGGCTTCCCTGGTTCACTCTCCTTGGACAACCTGAAGGCAGTTACTCTCATTCCCCAGACATCTAGGTCAGAGTCCAATGTCTGAAGGATTTAGAGCTCTCTGCTCTCGGGGCTCACCTGTATCTGGGAGGGCGCCGTGAGGAAGAGGCTCTGATTTCTGCTGTGGGCTCTTAGTACCTGTCAGGCAGCAGCACAGGTGAAGCTGGGCCCTGGGATCTGGAGGGTGGGGGGAGAAGCTGCTCCATCTGAAGCATTGGCCAGTTAAAGTCAGGCTAAGGGCATGGCTGACATGACAGTGAAGTATACATTGATCAAGTGCATGAATTTGATATTCACATTAGGAGTCCCTCAGAGCACTGAATAGGCCTCTGAAATGCCCTGGGGCACTGGGCTAGGAGATAGATATCTAGATGGGGAAGGGGGTACTACTTTGGTGAAGGAAAGAAGAGAGCCTGATGGGGTGTTCCTCTATCAAGATCTTTGGAAGACCTAGGCCTCTTAATGACCCCAGGGAATGATGGGCACCAGCATGTATGATGGGCCTTGCCAACAGGTCATCATACTCAGGAGTGTCCTGAGTTAGGCACCTCCGCTTGAGGACTAGTCCCACTCATCCCCAGGCCTAGCTGGGAGTTCCATCCCCAGCTCCCCGATGGCCTGTATCCAAGGGCTCCTGCACCAGGAATCGCCAGCCTCCCTCTGGAGCCTCTTCCATACCTAAGATGCAAGATGCCTTTCCCACTCTCTAACCTAACTCATGTAAGGAACTCTGATGGCACAGTGGGTAAGGCATTTGAGTGTTAACCAGAAGGTCAGTGGTTCAAACCCACCAGCTTCTCAGTAAGCTGAGAAGTAAGATGAGGCAATCTATTTCCATAAAGTTTTATAGCCTTAGAAATCTTAAGAGGGGTGCTATGAGTTGGATTCAACTTGATGACAGTGGATTTGGTTTTTTCAGTTTTAACCTAACTCCACTTTTCTGTGGGTAAAGCCGGTTTCCTTTTCCCACCTTCTGGAGGTTTTCTTGGGATGACCTTTCTCAGTCTTTATAAGGACAAGATCAGACCCCCAGAACCTCCCCTTCCAGGACACAGACACCAGCTTCTCCCATCTTCTGTGCCCTCCTAACACTCTCTGGGCTACTCCCTCCTCAATTCCCTTCCATCCCATGTCAACCCCCAGCCCCAGAACTCCAATCCAGTTTGAGCTGAACAGAAGGCATCCTCCCACTGCTGTTACGTTATCACATTTATTAGGCCAAGAGACACTAGACGCCACCATTTGGGAAGAAATGATTCATGTGTTGACGCACCTTAGAAGAACAGCTGCACTGTTTTCTAGTTAACAACAGACAGTGCCTGACATTTGTAAAGGAGTTTTAACTTCTTAAAGTGCTTTCTTATCTATCACTCAGTCGGGTCTCATTACAATCTTGGGGGTAGGACACTGATAACCATTTCTATTCAACAGGTGAGTCAAATATGCCCAGAGAGGGTAAGTGACTGGCCTCTGGGCACACAGCACATTGGCCAAAATGGGATTAGAAAGCAGGGCTTCTAATCTACAGTCCCATGCATTTTTCATCACAGCCTAAATTGGGTGGCATGCTCACTTGACAGACCCTGATATTCAGGAAGCTATCAGAGAACCAGAGGATAGTGAAATTCAGCCCCGATACTTTGCCTTCATAAAGGTAGGTCTTCTATTTAGGGAAGCCCAGAGCAATAAAACACAATCCCAAATTCTAAGCGTTGAGGTTTATCTAGGGACTTCCTCAGCCACTGGAGGGGAAGCGACCTTTTAAGCCAGGTCCTAGTCTTACCTGCCCGTTTCCTCTCCACCATACCCTCTTCCCGAGCAGGGGGGCTGGTGTCACTGTAAGTGCTGTCCCGGGGTGACGTCTCTTCTGACTTGCAGTAAATGGGCGACTCAAGCTGGGGTGGTCGTGGCACGTGCTTCTTCCGTTTCTTGGGCAGTTTCTGCTTGGCCATGGCCAGGGAGTAGTACATGCCGAAGTTGTTAACAATGACTGGCACAGGCATGGCAATGGTGAGCACGCCAGCCAGCGCACACAGCGCCCCCACCAGCATGCCTGACCACGTCTTGGGGTACATGTCCCCATAGCCCAGTGTCGTCATTGTGACCACAGCCCACCAGAAGCCAATGGGGATGTTCTTGAAGTCAGTGTGGTCGTTACCCCTCGGGTCAGAGGGCCGGGCACCAATGCGCTCTGCGTAGTAGATCATGGTGGCGAAGATGAGCACGCCCAGGGCCAGGAAGATGATGAGCAACAGGAACTCATTGGTGCTGGCCCGCAGCGTGTGGCCCAGCACGCGCAGCCCCACAAAGTGACGCGTAAGCTTGAAGATACGCAGGATGCGCACAAAGCGCACCACGCGCAGGAAGCCCAGCACGTCTCGGGCTGCCTTGGACGACAGGCCGCTCAGCCCCACCTCCAGGTAGAAGGGCAAGATGGCCACAAAGTCAATGATGTTGAGCAGGTTCTTGACAAAGTCCAGCGTGTCGGGGCAGCACACGATGCGCACCAGGAACTCCAGTGTGAACCACAGCACACACACGCCCTCGATATAGGTCAGGATGGGCTCTGTCTCCACCTCCCGCCGGAAGCGAACGCTGGTGATGTTCCCCACGCGGTGGATCTCTGTCACATTTCGGTCGATGTTGAAGGCCTCATGGGTCTCCAAGCAGAAGGTGGTGATGGAGACCAGAATGAAGAAGAGTGACGTGAAGGCCACCACCTATGGGTTGGGGAGGAGTGAAGGTGGAGCTGTCAGACAGCTGTAGGCCCAGCTGGGGACAGGGTCCTCTACTTGGGAGATGGGGTGGGGCATGGGTCACCAGGAAGTCCTTTAGATGGTGAGAGGTGGAATTAAGGTACAGGGTAGAGACTGAGGGACAAAGGAGAGCTAAGGAGGCCAGGGCTAGAAGACACTGCCTGTGTTCCTCATCCTGGCCCTGCCACTCAACCAGGTAAATGGTGTACTCTGTGCCTGTCTGCTCACTATAACATGGGGATAGTACTAGTACTCACCTTGTAAGGTTATTGTAGGATTAAATGAACATCTACACAGCAAGTGCCTGGCACACTGTAAGTGCTCAATAAATGGTAGCTCTTATTGACATGACAGAGCCGAAAGGATTAAAGTGCTTGACTGCTAACTGAAAGGTTGATGGTTCAAATCTACCCAGAGCTACCTTGGAAGAGAGGCCTGGTGATCACAGGCACTGAAAACTCTGTTATTGTTAGGTGCTGTCGAGTTGTCTCCAACTCATGGAGACCCTATACACAGCAGAACAAAACACTGCCTGGTCCTGTGCCAGCCTCACGATCCTTGCTATACCTGAACCCATCACTGCAGCCATTATGTCAATCCATCTCATTGAGAGCCTACTGAAAACCCTATGGAGCTGGAATTCCTTCCACAGAGGGCCTTTATCCAATTGCTTTAAGACAATGCTTCCCAATCTTCTTCACCATCATGGTGCAAAGAAGAGTTTAGAGGCTGCTCTTGACTAGAAGCAACCAGTCTAAGTACAAATGCCCAGCCCTGCTAACAATAGGTCTGCCCACTTCCAACCCATTCATACTTTAAGGCTTCTCAAACGAAGAGGAATATAAATCACATGGAAATTTTGTTAGAATGTTATTCTGAGTCAGGAGGTCTTAAGGCAGGGACTGAAAGTCTGTGTTTCTGGTAAGCTCTCAGGTAAGGGTGTTGGGCCACACCAGGAGAAACAAGGGTTTAAGGCAATGGTTCTCAAGGTGAAGTCCTGGACTAGCAACATCAGGATCATCTGGGAACTGGTTAAAAACAGTTGCCATTGAGTTGCTTTTGACTCATGGAGATCCTTGTGTTGTCAGAGTGGAACTGGGCTCTCTAGGGTTTTCAGTATCTGGTTTATTTTTAGATCACCAGGCCTTTCTTCCAAACATCTCTGGGTGGATTCAAATCCAACCTTTCAGTTAGCAGCTGTTATGGATTGAATTGTGACCCCCAAAAGTATGTGTGAACTTGGCTAGGCCATGATCACCAGTATAGTATTATGTAATTATCCTCCATTTTGTGATTTGATGTCATTATACTATGTGTTGTAAATCCTAACCTCTATAATGTTAATGAGGCAACATTAGGAGCAGTTATGTTTAATGAGGTAGGATCAATGAGTTTAATCTACAGGATTAGGCTGTATTTTGAATTAACCTCTTTTGTGATATAAAAGATTAAACAAGTGAGCAGAGATCAGAGGGACTTAACTACCAACAAGAAAGAAGACCTGGAAGGGAATCGAGTCCTTTGGACCCAGGGTTCTTGCGCTGAGAAGCTCCTAGACTCAGGGGAAGACTGATGCCAAGACACATGGAGATCTCCAAGGAATGCTGGGCCCACTGATGTTGAAAGGAGACAAGGACTTTCCTCTAGAGCCAACAGAGAGCGCATTCTTCTGAATTTGGACTTCTAACCTCCTGAACTTGAGAAAAGAAATCTCTGTTTTGAGAAAAGAAATCTGTTTATTAAAGCCATCCACTTGAGGTATTATCTAGATGTCTGGATAACTAAGACAGCAGTCTAGCCTGTTAATTATTTTCACCACCCAGGGACTCCAACTGGTTAGACATACAAGCTCTCAGGCCCCACCCACACCTATTGAATAAGAAACGCTGGGGATGGGGTCAGTAATCTGTTTAACAAAACTTCCAAATAATTCTGATGCACCCTAAAGTTTAAAGTCCACTGCTTTAAGGGATATATACAGAGGCAGTGGGCTAGGGGAATGACTGGGCCTCTTTCAGCTGAGCCTATTATCCACAGCTCCAGGCATGACCCCACCTCAAGCCACAAGTCCCAGCCCTGTTCTCCTGCCTTTTACCCCAGGATGTCCCCAGTGATTGCCTCAGACAGTGAGGAAGTCTTTGAAGGAACGTAACACACACGATGGCAGGAAACAGGATGGTCCTCCCAGAATAACTGGCTCCCATTTCCTGGGACACTGAGCTCCAAAGGAAAATAAACTACCCCCAGAAGTTCAGAGAGTGGCAGCGGCTGATGCCAACAGCTGTGCTGGGATCGCACTAGAATGATGACAGCAGTGCTGAGCAGACGAACCGCAGGGTTTAAGTGTCCAATCATTATGAATGGAGATGAAATGCATGTGTAATAACACCAATTACACAGCCTTCATCTGTTATTCATGTGGTGCCATTCACCACTGTCAGGATACCCATTGCCAGGGTCTGGTCCCAAGCTTCATGTTATAGCCTGTCCTGCTTGGTGGTTAGGGTGGGCTTCCTCTGTGAGCAAAGCACTCAGCCCCAACAGGCAGCTGAGGGCAGTCCATGGCTCTGTGATACTCTAACAACCCCCATATCTCTCCCACCCTGACTTCTACCTGGCTGTGGCCTTGCACCATCCAACAAGGAGCCAGGCCTGCCTCTCAGAGATGCTTTCCTCACTGGAGTCTACACTGGGGGAGGGCACACCTTGCTCTTATTACTGCAAAACACCAATGGAGAATACAGAGGGACCTAGGAAAAGTAAGGAAGAAGCAGGACCTCTAGGGCTTCTGGAGCAGGAGCCAATCCGAGGAAAGAACTAGGGGAATGAGCATGTCTGTTCTGTGCTTGGCACTGTTAGGCACTCTGTGTGCATTATCTCCTTCAACCTTCCCAGTGGCCCTGTGAAGTAGGTCTCATCATCCCACTTCATAGAGGAAGTGAAAATCAGAGGTTAGGAACTTACCTAAGATCACATAGCCTGAAAGGGTGCAAAGGAGATTTGAACTCAGAACTTTCTAACTTTGGAGGGTATACCTTGTCATCATGCCACACTGTCTTCACCACCTCCCAAAATCAGTCATCACAAGAGTTGATAGCAGCTCATGGTGATCCTGCATGTGTCAGGGTAGAACTGTGCTCCACAGAGTTTTCAATGGCTGATTTTCAGAAGTAGGTCACCAGGTCTTTCTTCCAAGGAGCATTTGGGTGGACTCAAACTTCTAACCTTTCAGTTAGCAGCTAAGCACAGGCAGGGTCAATTCACAGGCCCAGGAAAGCCTTCTTTGAATTATCGATGATGCTCAGACAGCTCCCTGATGCTTGCTATTTCATCCTAAGGAATGTGTACCTTTGGCTAGGTAGGACCCCACCTCACAGTAAGACTGATCCCATTCATACTTGAGCAGGGATGGGTTGATGAGAAATGGCACTGAAGGAGGCTGGGGTAGAACAGCAGACCACAGAACACTTTCCCATCTTACAGCTTTGCCTGGAGCTTCGCCCGCCTTCTTCTGCTCCATGAAGGTAAATTACAAGTTCATTTTCTCTCTTTTGAGAAATGGGCTGCCCAGACAATACAGTCCTATATGGGCATTAGATAAATGGCTCTAGCCTGTGGGCTCTCCATGGCCACCCAGAGATAAGCTGGTTAAGGTACCTGCTGGTGGCGATAGTGGGGGTCCAGAGACCTGATACTGCCCACCTGCCCTGCCCCTCAAAGTAGAGGCAGGTGTGGGAGTTGGGGTCAAAGTTGAGGACAACATATCCCAGCTCTGCCAAGAAGCATGGGAAGCAAGAGTTTTTCTCTCCAAAGAAAAGTTAGCCAGGAGACTTGGCCCACCTGGGAGCTTGAGCACGAAGTTAATTAGTGATTTGGAAAAACAAGTTCAGGAAGAGCTGCCAAGGGGCTGTGCAGGGCACAGTGAGGAGGAGGGAGAGCCTGCTCTGCCACTCTATGAAGGGCCAAGAAGCCAGCTTAAGTGCCTTCCTCAGAGTCTACCCCTACAGGCTGGTTCTGTAGGAGGCAAAAGGGTCCTTCAGGTACGGAGGTTCAAACCACCCCTGTTGGATTCCTGCAGCATACACTCATTCTTGGTTTTTTTCAAAAAATAAAATAAACCATAGCACTGTCCACTTGTTTTCTTCTCTCCCTCTCCTCTCCCTTGCAGAAGATGAAGGCAGGTAAAGGGTAGCTGAGTGTGCCCATTTCTCAGGGGAAATGGAGGCATGAGAGGCAGAGAATTTGCTCAGGATCAAACTGCATCCAGATCTCCTGCCTCAGCTCTGAGCTCTTTCCCCTGGGCCCTCTGACCAAACTACCAGGGAGAACCCACTTCCCCTTTGACAGAACCTTAGTGGGCCTCAGTGTCCCCTGAGGTGTCTCCAGGCCTGGGCAGCAGGTACAGGGTAGCTTCAGGAAGCCCTCGCTCTGAGGAGACAGAGCCAGGTGTCTGGGCTCTGGCATATTGCTCCATATGGATCCTGAGGTTACCAGTTCCTCTTCAGGGCCCAAATTCTTCCTTTTCCCCCTAAGATATTCCCCAAGCTGACTTCGTGAGTGGCTGACCCTGCTTGCAGTTGATGCCTTTCACTAGGCCTTTCCCCTGGGGGCAAGGATACTGCTTTTTCACAGCTCCACTGACCTGGGGTCTCCCTGGACAGAAAGGGGTCTTGGGAGGAGGTGGCTGCAGCAACACCTCTCTGCTTAGAGGTCAAATCCTCAAGTTAGACTCTTTAATTCGGACCCCACCAGGCTATCCTAAGAGCTGGCAGTGGGCATCTAAGCCTCCCTCCCATGGCCATTACACCCCCGACATGAGGCTACTGGGTCTCCAGGAGCTAAGACTGAGGGGCAAAAGATAGCTAAGGAGCCCAGACTCCAGAAGACTCGGCCAGGGGTCACACTGCCTGAGTTCCTCATCCTTGACCTGCCACTCAACTGGGTAAACAGTGCACTCTGTGCCT